GAGGCTGTCTCCACAAACTTGGTGACCTCACAACCACGTGTCTGTGGCCCTTTTTCATCATCCCTGACTGCTAGAGACACACAGAACAGTGACAATGAATGGGAAGACATGGAGGAAGAGGAGGAAAAAGAGGATTGCACTAGGGTACGTGATTGGCATGAGATTATTAACAGGTAGATAATGACATGGGAAATGTGACAGCTTTAAGAATGTGTCATTCTTAAAAAAATTAGTTTTAACTCATTATCTATGCTATATCTGCATGACTTTTCTCGCTTTCCAGAAATGTCCAAATTTTACTGTATGCCCAGCTCTACAGAACGCTTTACCGTTTCCTTTAAGGTTATTTCCTTGCTCTTGAAATTCCTACTGTTTTAACTTATCATCGTTCTGCAGTATTATTCCCAGTGCACAGAGGCCTAAGACTTATCCTTAAATTAATGGGTGTCAGCTATTCCGTAATTTTTGCCATATTTTAAACTCCTGTGGAAAATCACTTTGTTACAATACTACTATTGTAAAGTTCCAATAAGAAACTCCTATACTAATTACTATCCAAAATATAGGGATCAGTCCTGCCAAAAGCTGAACATCTTGCATTCCTGTTGATGCTAATAAGCTCTGAATTCCAACTAATTCGAGAGCACTGAGAATAAAATTTAGATCCAACTATTTGCTTTAGTGGAAAAGCAATAGCAATAGCAACTGAAATCTCTGAACTCTGTTGTAACGTTTGTCAGATCTGAGGACTCCATGACATTTTATATACTTAAAATGCCAAAATGTCAGTTCCTGATGGCATTCCATGCCTTATTAGGCCCTGTCAATCAATCACCGTGAAGCTGAAGTATAAAGAGGTATGAAGAAATAAAATGAATTCTGGAACAATAGCAGTGATAGACCAGAGAAATCCTTACATATGCTGCTTATTTATACCATCTGAACATCTGATTCCTATTTGCATATAAAACATAATGGAAAATGTTAATGAAGCAACAGAAAAGCCTACATCAAACATATCTTGTGTTTGCTTTAATAGGAAATGGAGGTCTTTGTGACTTTGACAAGGTTAGAGAACAACGGTTATGGATTCTCAGTGGTTCTTAACAAAGTGGACAACTGTCTTTATGTTGATGAAATCTTGCATGAGCCTGCCCTGTCAGATGGAAGGCTAAGAAGGGGAGACAGAATCGTTATGGTACAGTAATCCTTTGAATTTAAACAGGGGGGAAAGTATGTGCAGGTCAATGTCATTTAGCTTTAGTAATTTTCCTTTTATAGGGCCTAGTTTATCATATTTATGCATGCAAGTGCAAATGAATCATATAATAAATATAATTCCACTGACTTCAGTAGAATAAACTTCAGACTGAATAGATTGTATGACCAGGCAAAACCCAAGAATCATCTAGCAGTAGTGCAGTACAGCTGAGACACTAAATGTCTTCCTTAATAAGTGATATAAACTGCACTGATCTGCACAAAAGATGCAGTGTCCTGTGTAATGTGTGAACAAAACCTGTTTTGAAGTTCATCTTCATTTCATTAGACTTGCCTTCCTTCATTTTTGCTACAGGACTTCAAGTTTCAAGGAAAAGAAGATACTTTTATGAAGATAGAATATTCAGGAAAACAAAAGTTCAAAAGCAAATCTTACTGCAATTGTAATTTTTTAACTGTTGCATGCATTCACAGACATTAGGTGCCACAGCAAAGCAATGATATGAGAATGAAAACTAATTTAAGCTCATATTGCAGTATTTGGAGTGGAGGAAAAAGTATGATGACAGTCAATGAGATCTATCTTTTTCATTTAGGTGAATGGAATTGATGTCACATCTTTACAATGCAATGAAGCCCTGAGTTTGCTGCAGAGCTCTCCTCCTGATCTGCACCTTGTGGTTGGTCGTGCTGGCAGCGATCCACGTCCTTCTATTAGGCCAGATGACATTCCTGAAATCACTCTCACAAAAGGTGCCAACGGACAGCTAGGTGTGTAGTAAGTACTATGCATACTATTTTAGGCAAAGATAATAGTGGTGATATGATAATTGTAGGGCAATTGTGGTCTTGGATCGTGCTCTCCTCCATCAACATGACAATGGGTTGGAGAAGTTTCTTTTCAATAGAACCATAAAGGAAGACAACTCTTATTAGACAAATCAAGCTATTGGAAGCTGAAGCTATATCTGTATGATCACACTATCAGCTGAAGTTTCTACCGTATCTTCAGTCTCATATTTTTATGTTATTGAAATACAAAGTGTTGCTAGAAATTGTTGATAGATGATGAATGTCTGCTACCTGCTGATATGACTAAAGTTCTATTTGGGAAAAAAAGGAGAAGGATGAGCTACTAGTTAGGGCAACAGCCTGGCATTCAAAAAAACTCTGCTTAAATGCTTGATTCATCAAAGACATGAAGTTTTATTTATCTACACTGTGCAATGCAAGCAATAAAAGAAATCCCACAGTATGAATATCTTGTTATTACTTTAGAATGCAGTAGGTACTGCACAACTGTGGATCCAGGAAACAGCATAGTTATTTTTACTTTGATATAGGATCCTGTTTCCAGTTCAGAAACTAGTTTGTTTGGAAACTACTGGATTATCATTGCACCATACTGCTTTGTAGGTGAGGTACCTCCTTATCTGTCCTGCACTTTCATTCCCTACTTATAAAACGGGAATGATAGCACACCCTACAGAAGACATCGCAAAGCACTTATGTACTGTGGTAACAAGGGAGTCTTATTCAAGTACATATTTGACATTAGCTGAAACAAAGCACCACGGAACAGCTGAAGTGTATAGATGGACAACACTGTTTAAGTTTTTTAATATTCTGTGAACATCTAATCGCATGTCACTCTTGCTCTCTTACTGGGGGAAAAATGCTCTTTTGTTCATCAGTGTTTTGTTCAGCCTATCTTTCAATGACCCTCATATATTCCATCAGGATGCACTGACAATGAAATTCAAAACATGCTGCCACAAAAGGATTTTTGTTATCTGCATTATTCTAGGCTTGAAGCTGACAGGAGGAGCTGGAAGCAAGCTACAAGGTATTTATGTTCTAGACATAGTGCCTGGCTCTCCTGCCAGTGTGGAAGGCAGTCTGCAGCCACGAGATCAGATTCTGTACATCTGTGGGCTGTGGACTGAGGGCATCAGCCTGGATGATGCAGTAAGAGTGTGCGAAGCTGCCACCCAGAATGTCCAAATCAAAGCAACAAGGTAAATCGAAGCAGACAGATGGAATCTGAGCATTCTCAATTTCAGTTCTAATGTTAAAGCAGGTTTTTAGTTCTTTTATTAGCAAGTCAAAAAATAAAACCAAACAAGAAAAATGCTGTACCTCACAGCTCTGAAGGTGTATACTGGTACACGATACCCATAAGGTATCTTAATTCTTTGTAGTTAAAGCTAACACAGGAAGATGTGAATGTAGGTGAACTCACATGACATGCATCATAACTCATCAAACTTCATCATCGAAACACAAATGTGAATCCTTTAACTGCCTCTGTTGGGAACCTCTGAGTTACTTTCAGTGGCGAAATATTTAAGAAAAATGCTGAAAATCCAGCAGTTATTCCACAGTACGTGATAAAATGTTCATCCCCAGGCTGCTCAGGAACATACAGCTAAGAATTCCCCTTCATCACGCTTTATGTTTATTTCATTTTGCAATCTGACAGAGCTCTGGACTGATACCAAATCAGCCCCTTAAGGTCTTAGAGCAACAGTCCAAACAGTAACCCCAAAATATGTAAATTACTAGGTTACACAATTAGATTTAGTGATAGTGTGTTCATCACAGCAATCTTGATGTCCAACAAACATTTATCAGTGTTTTATTAACTTGCATTGTGTTAGCAAGTGAAACCGAGCCCTGAAGAAGTTTTGTACTGCAACAGATATTATAACATATTCCTTCGTTCTTAGACCAATTTAAGTAAAATATTTCATTGTTATTAAGGACAGTGTATATTTATATACTGATATAAATGCTCTTTAGAAAAGCACCATTAAGTATAACAAAATCTTAGAAATACAACTTAATTAAAAATTGACTTTTTCAGAAATAGCGTTCATATGTGCTTTTAAAAACATGCAGCTCTTAATGGCTCACATATTGCACTTTTCTGCCTCCAGAAATGGCAATCCTGTGGTCCCTATAGAGCAAGAAAATAGTAAGTAAGGCTAAAGTTTTTTGGATTTGAGCTCAAGATTTGCTTCTGATTTTAGTATTAATTTGTTATTGATTCATTGCATTAAACAGTTATTAATAGATTGTAACTTGGCATTCAGTATTTCTGTTAAGAATCTGGAGAAAAATGGACAGCTCTTTACAGAGAATCAAAGCGTGTATTTCTTTTCAAAAAAATTTAAAATTTTATCTATACTTGCATTTTGTGCAGTCAGCTTATTTTTATTTATTTGCTAATATTTAATGGGAATTTCATGGTTATATTCAACTTCTGGTTTGATTAAATCTATTCTGCAATATTTTTCTAGAGAATTTGAGCTTTAAATATGGTGCCATAACTTAACCATCCTGGACTGACGTTTTAAACTGATATCAATAACAAAAATGGGCAGAACCACAATCTCTTTAATTAATAAAGGAGCCTATCAGGGGGCTACAGTTATTGCTCTACTTTATTTCTCTAGTAAGATCTGTAGATTCCAGGAGATTTCTCAAGACACTTTATCTATGATCCAGCTCTGATGCAGATTTATTAACTGTACAGTGAGATGGTTCTTGGCCTTGAAAAAAAAGATTCTTAACTTTCGTAAAGCACTGCAAAAATATACAGTGATTTGTTGTTTGATATTCTGTTTGTGACCATCTCTAGTAGAAGCCTTCATTTAATGTATTCTCTTAGTTATAAAAATGCATACTGAAATGGCAAATGCAACATAGAATTAAAAAAAACAAAACAAAACTAAACAACACAAACAGCAGAACATATTATGTTATATAATTCATACCTTAAGAGAATTTTCTGGAAGACAAGTGAGATCATCTATATATGACAAAGCAAAACTCAAAAGTAAAGATCAGGGCAGGGTGGAAATCAAAGCCAAATCATTGTCTTCTTGTACAGACAGCTCTGCAGACAGTGATAGAACCTCCTTAATCCTCTGCCTAAGCACTGCCACATGTCTGGAATGACTCACTCTGATCTCCAGTTCTTGTTATCATTTTAAAAATAGCAACAAATGAGATGTAATACTTCTGCAGCTCAGGAAACTATTATTTGTATCACTGTGCAACTCAGTAAACTTAATCATGCAGTAATAACTGTCTCACACGGCCTCATACAGCATCAGTATTGGATATTGATGCTTTGTTTCGTGATCTAAGAACAGAGTTTACATTCCCTTGTGTACATGAAGCTGAGTGGGAGGCCTGTCAGAACAAACCTCCATGTATGCTTTTAGGGCTGCCTGCTGAGACAGAGAAAGACGATACTTGTCTCTCAAATGAAAACCTGAATTCCCAAGAGCAGCATCTACTAAGCCAACACGGTAAGGAACTTGACTTTTCTGGTAGAGTTTAAAAAAGGTTTAGTCCTCTCTGTAAATGAAATTGGTAGGTGGTGCTGGAAATACTGGGGAAAGATTAATTGTTAGTAAGCAATTCTGTATCCTTCAGAGTCTCAGAGAATGCAAGTACATCATCTGTTTTCCAGCTGGTGGCCCTGATCCTGTAACACGCAGCTCCTAAAGCTTGTTTTGGAAACTGCTCTCTGGGAGGCAAAAGGTTCACATGAATCATAGGCAGAATGCTCAGTTCAGGAGTACTACAAAAGAAGCAATGTACATAAGCCCAGAGGAAATTTTACACATCAAATATGAAATGTTTTATTATGTCTCTATCATATTGAGTGTTATACCACAGAACCATATTTCAGTGGTGAAAACCGTTCTGCTTTTTCACAGAGAAACATTTGAAGGAAACAAATTGTGAAGCTCAGCAAAGCACTCCCAGTTCTCCAGAATGTAAGGTAAGGGGCAGTTTTATCAAGCATGAGGTGTTCCATCAAGTAAAGTGTGCTATAGTGACTGAGATTTTTTCAATAGTGGCATTTAATGTATTTACTTCATCCCCAGTTTCTCTTAAAATGTGAACACAATTGCTCTGGAAAGCATACCGTGAAGTGTTGAACTGCCTCAGCGTGCACTCGTCCTGTGTGCGCTCAGCACCTCCAGTGGTTAGGCCCCTCTCTTGCTGGTTTTCTATATAGTATTACTACCTTAACAGCTTGATAATGAAACCAAGATCCACAGGATGTAGCCCCTCCATTATGTCTTCATAGTACTCTTAATAGCTTCCAAAATTAACTCCTAGCTTAGAAAGAAAGTTGTGCAGGAAAGAGAGATAGAATGCCACAGTGTAAGATTCTGGGAAGAATAAATGTGAAAGTAATGAGGAAGTATTTCCCACAACAAATCAAAACATTCACTGAAACTTGAGACTCATGTTTCAGTATGAAATACTGAATCTGAAAAGAGGACAAAATTACTCCAAATCTTTAGAGTATTTTCAGTGTTGACATATATCAGAGTGGTTTGGATTTACAATAGCTAGTGAGAGTAACTGTATTTTTGAAATAATAAATTCTCAAAATACACAGGTATGTTCAGGGGGGAAAAAATCAATTTCCATGTTCAGCATACAATGCTTCAAACGTCTCACAAGTGCAAACATTGCTTTTGTTTGCGCAAATATGTGGAAAGTAATATTGCTTGGAATTGCCCACTTTGTGACTGATATTTCATGAAAATAGATTTATTCATTTTCTCTTGGCTGGAGCTTACAAGAAATGGCTGTTTCTTGTTAAAATTAGACCTCCAACCTGGAAGAAAAACTAGAACCATTTTCTGGCTTTTGATTAAGTCATCTCTATTACTGCTTCTTCCACACCATTTAATCCATGATAGCTTGTCTGTTCAACTCACTGAAATAATTTCTGAGGATGATACATATATCACTGGAACCAGTCATGCTGCAAATCATAACAATTTCTAGGTTGCTGCTCTTTCCGACGTAATGCTTGACCCTAAAAAGGCTGCTGATTATAAAAGTGAATGACGTGCTAAAGCCAAACAGAGAGGTACATTGGGGCTGCAAGGTTAAGACTTGCATTACAGAACAATAAAAAAACGGAGGACATACTGAGTTAGCGTCACACTTGAGATAAAAGTGACTGGCTTGTCAATGAAGGTGATGTATTTGATGTATTATGAAAGGGTTACATAAGTACATGTTTCCTTAGTTTTATGAGATCATTTTACTCACTGGATATTATTAATAGAGCTTATGTAAATAAGGATGCACTACTTTCATTCTGATACATACATGTAGATGCTATAAATCAGTGGAAGCTCTATGTAGCCATCCAAGACAAGGATATATCCCACAATTTATATCAGCCACAAAGGATTGTAAAGCACAATATAATTCTTTCGTATTAAAAATGAACATGAAAAAAGCGCCCTGAGTAAACTCCACCTCTTACTGTGTCATTTTGTATTGTAGGACTTCATTATTAAGATAGAATTGGAAAAAGCGGAAAATGGAAGCCTAGGATTTGCGCTGGTTGGCGGCAGAAATGGCAGGGCTATCCTAATAAAAGCCATCAGCCCAAACAGTATTGCAGATCTAGATGGGAGGCTTCAAGTTGGTGACATCTTACTTAAGGTAGGGTTTGCTCTTCGTCATTTTGGTGGTGCACTCTCATGGTATAAAGATGCAAAGAGAGGGAGATCAAGGAAGTTACTAATGCAGAAAGGAGAGAGGACTCATGAGTTGCAGAGATGTATAAAATGCGCTCGGTGCTGGGATATGTGTTAAAAAAAGCTTTTTGTTAAATAAATTTGGAATTACTTACCGTGTATTTTTCAGGTAAATGAGACTTTAGTATCTGGTCTACCACGCCAAACAGTTATAGATTTGCTGCGCAAGGCTCAAGGCACTGTTCAGCTCACTGTCTGCCGAAGCGTAGCTTCACGTTGGGCTTACTCAAGCAACCAGAGAAACAGCATACCTTCCCCTCCAAACACAAACACAGAGCCTGGTAAGCAGCTAAATCCATTAAATACATATTAAAAGTGGGATTATGTCTGGACTCAATTTTTCTATTGGTAAAACAATTGAATAACTTTACCAATAACTCTAATGTTACTCCCGATTCATAGCCATAGACACAAAAAAGTTCTTTCAGCGCTGGATAAGCTTTCCAAGACAGAAGAAGATAGGGAATGATGCTCAAGACTCTCAGAAATGTTTAAACTCAGCTTATATTTATGATGGTTTCTGGTGTGTGCTGATTTTAGCTAGTTTTATGCAAATCAGTGGTAGGTTTGTAGCTGGAGAGAAGGTGCTGTACATCCTGAGCAGCTGAGGTCTTTGGGACAGCTAGACAAGGACTGTCAGAAGCTACTGGAAAAGGTATGGTTATTCATAGCTATCTTGATGAATCTGAAGTAAATAAAGGGAGTGCATTATTTAAAATTTCCTATTTCTTTTCCAGCAGTTTGGAATTGAATAGTCTACCAATATTATATTACTGAGTCTCAAAGACTCTCTGTGTGAGGATGACAGAACTGTGCTCAGTTTAGGTGTGAAATGAGGATGTTCACTGTCCCATTTCATTTCTAGTTTGATTTTGAGGGTAAATGATGCCAAAATGGGAAGGTCATCCAGATATAAAAAGGCTGATTAAACTTTTAGCAACGTTAGTGGCTGTGAAAATATTCCCATCCACTGCAGTAAGAATAGGCTTTTCTCCAGTTCTTCAAATTCAAGGAACTAGCTGTGGAGATGTGCATTGGAGTCTCATGTGACATTTGTGAATTAGACTGTTACTGTGAAGCTTAAACTCTTTTCCCTGGACCGATAAAACACAATGCTATTACGTAAGAACTGTTATCATAATAAACCTATGATATTTGCCTATTTAGTGATGTAAAGGAATAGGCTGAGTTAGGGAAGTTTATCAATTCTGTTGTAGGTTTTTTACAACTCCTACTGGTAGTGGGTATACTTCAGTATCTTCTGGTCACCTGAGTTATTCTGACTTCTTCAGTGGTTATATATGGAACTTTTGCTGTTTTTACCCTTACGAGAGCATCTAGAAAGAAGGGTATTTTGTGGTAGTTTGGGGCAACATATCTCAAGTGCCTCTTCCAAAACCAAAGTCCTCCGGTGTGGGTGCTACTGAAGGAATGGTTCTGTATTTTCACACTTTAGGCATTTAAATTTCTTTTTCTGGTATTCAGATGACCACAGCGTTGAGAGAAGCCTAGAAGCTCAATCTGTTTTCACTTTGAAGGAAGAATCCAACTGGATGTGCAGCAAGGTGAAGTCTGAATTGAGCTTGTAGAAGTTATCAAGCAATGTACTTGTTTGTAAACAAAAATGGGTTTGATGCAATGCTGGCAAGAACCACACGTTGTTAATGAAAAAGATTAACATGAACCAACTGTGCTGCAGTCAGCAGCACCTCTAATATTGGAATAAATCAGGGGATTCCACTGAGCTAAAAGTATATGATAAAAGCATACTACATATGCTAAAGAGAGGTGTTAAAGGAAGGTTGCATAAGCAAGTCTAGTTCTGGAAGTTTATAATGTTGGAATAAATTATTTATTAATTTTTCCATTCTTCCAATATTTTAAAAGTATGCTTTGAAAGTTTGCTATTCATCAGTATCTGCTAAGTCCAAAGCCCCAGATTTCTTCAGGCGTAGTTTTGGTTTTGAATCCCAGTAAGTGAGGCAGAGACTGTCTGTATTAAATTTTACAATAAGTGTTATTTTTGAGTTTTACAACTATAAAACCTGTTTCCTGAAAATGTGATAAATGTAGTTTTTTTATCCTCCAGAGCAAACAAACAAACAAAAACCAACCTTCCAAAGCTTGCCTCATCCAATATAATCAAAGATATATATATATAAAAAAAAAAAGGGGGAGAAATCCTTGAACTGAATAAGCTAAGAAAATCTTGAATGGAATTTCAGAAAGCTTTGAGTACAGAGCTGGAATGAATGTTGGAAATACATTGTTAAAGATTGGTGAAATGTAATACAAAAATAAGGCCAGGTCAATGATATAATGAAGAAATATGCCAAGGAAATGATATTAATCAGAGGCACGAGATACTACTAAGGTTACAGGTCCCTTTTTAGCCTGAGTTAGCAATGTATTAGTGCTCACTTATGGTTTTAAGCTTGTAGTTAAGTCTAGTCTGCAAATACCTAACTTTTATTTCATGCTAAACTTTTCTGCTGAGTTCATTCCATTAGCTCTCAACCCTTTCCAGCCTGCCTTTAATGGTCTCACGTTAATAGAAACTATACTTTACAGGGCACAGCTGCCATTTACTCCAAA